GGAATCATTTGGTGAGTTTTGAGTGAAATCCAATCGCTAGAAGTATGGAATACACCAACCACTCCAATTAGGAACGAACTGCCTTGGAAAGTTATTGGCAAAACACTGGACAGAGGTCGAAACTGAAAAACAGAGAAAACGAATCTGCCCAAAAACGACCGGTCGCTTTTACCTGACGACCGGTCGCTTTTCACGTCAAAATTTGAGTTTCGACTCTGCCCAAAAACGACCGGTCGCTTCTACCTCACGACCGGTCGCTTTAGCACTGTTCATAGGTGATAAAAGGGTGATAAAAAGTGCTGTTTGTGTTTTTCTTTAGTTTTCTTGTGTTGTTTTATTTCTTTTACACTTCTTTACTCATTTCTAGTTTCCCTCTTTCATTTGTGCATTTGTGGTGTGTTAATTAAGTGTTCTCTTTGTACTCAAATTAGAACTTATAGGAAGCCGACAAGTTCTTCGTGGGATCGACCCCGTACTTACATAATCTATACTTCAATAGATTCGTGCACTTGCGGGTATTTTTAATTGGTTGTTTGCACATTAATTTGTGTCCTTTTAGGAATGCAACAATATCCCTATTCTATTAGGATATTGTTTTGTTTATTTCTTTTTGTATAGATATTATGTAATTAGGATACCACTTATTTTCCTAGTTTAAACCTACTAGGGTTTGCAACTTGTATTATAAATACCTCCTTTCGGAGTATGAAATATATCTGAAAATATTCTACCATATTATTTGACTGAATGTGTGTCCAACAAATGGTCAAGTAGCAGCAAAGCTGTTTGTTATGTCAAAGGGAAACCAGAAGTTTTCGGAGGCTCACGGTTTAGAGCAATGGTGGTCTGATGATTTGGAACTTCAACTGGCTATGCATAACAGTAAGCTCATTAGCAGGCAGCTGAAATCCTTGTATAGCCTTCCAGCTCCACAACAAACACTTGCTAGATAACAAAGGCCCTCTTGTTTTCACAGTAAGCTCATTAGCAGGCAGCTTAAATAACTCGTTTTCGACTTGGGCCTTCCATACTGTCATGTTTTTATACTTTGTCCATCAGTTCATAATGGCTATTGCCTTTGCTCATCGTTGTTTGTCACCTGTGTTTATTGTCATTTTCATTTGTTCAAGTGCTCTAAATTTTCCGAAGATATCTGAAAAAGCTTTCCGATTTTTCCTTCCACAGTACCTCAATGTGAAATAAGCATGAATAGGGCTGTAAAATAAATCATGTTGTGCTCTGCTTGGCAGGATATGACAAAGTCCTGCTCATGCTGTGTTCATCTTAATTATGTTCGGGGACAATTGCATCTTAATAATGTAAATACTTCTGTTTCTTCACATATCCACAACTTAACGGAGAGTTGGAGAAACTAAAATATAAAGAAAGATATATAGGAGCTAGTTGTATGATTGGGAGTGCTTGCTTCAGTGTAATATTTACCATCACAGGGGATTTTGAAAGTGTTTGCTAAAAACTGAATAATCTCAAACTGATGAGTTAAGCAGGGAGCATCAATCAATCAAGCAAACTGAAGCCTAGACTTGCTGCTGTTGCATTAAATTTCTTACGTCTTTCAGACTAATCCTTAGCGTTTGCTTGGGAAGCACTGGATTGTGCGGAGTGATGGATACTTTTTGCTGCGCAATTTGGACCGGCAAGAATGTTGACTTGACCGTGGTAAGAGATTTCAATCTCAACCAAGTTATTAGTTGGGCCTTCCAGAGTACATGGTGCTCTATCAATATTTATGTCCACAAGCCTTGTTGCACCCTCTATAAACTCGAAGCGAATTCCTCGTACCTTAATTAAAAATAGCGGTAAGTAAAAATAATTAGTAATCCTCTCTTTGAAATGGATGCTGCAATCTGAACATATAAGTTTAGTACATATCAATTCAAGATGATGTATGACCTGATCAAGGAGAGCCCAGTCTCTGCGCCCGTCCTCGCAACCGATAACTTCGAGGCGCCCATCGTCTATGAAAGATGGAACGAAAGATGGGTTCTTGGGTGTCTGTAATTAACTCAATTTTAACATGGAAATGTTTTAGTAATTAATGGGTGTTGCTATTTGGACAACATTATTACTCACCACCTCTCCAATATGGATGGATCCCATATATAGTGGTGGATCCTCTTTTAGAGAGATGATCAGCAATATGATCGTACAAATGAAGGGTGTTGTTATTTTGACCATATTTACTAATCACATTGCTGACAATCTCTTTTATATTATGGGAGCATTTTTGCTCACCACTTTAACCCAATGTGTACCCTCACCACCTTTCTCAACATTTGACATGTGTCTATTGACATAATTATAGTTACATATATACAAGGTAGAGAGTTAACTATGGTTATGTCAAGGAACACGTGTCAAGTGTTGAGCAGGGTGGTGAGGGTACACCTTGAGTTAAAGTGGTGAGCAAAAATATTTCCTTAATATGATAGATCCCACATGCACTGGTGGGGTCACCTCTGTTACAGGGATCCACATCCACTGATTTGAAAGAATATTTGCAAAAGGAAAATTAAAGCAATCCTAACAGAAAAAATCAATATAAAAGGTCCAGAGATGATCTAGTGAATAAATATGGTATAAATAACATTAAACCCGATTGCAAATGCCAATCATAGAAACATTAACCCGTGCATGCATATCTCACGAAAACAAAAACACGTGTAAAGGAAGAAAAAGGAACCTCACTTTTCCATCTTCCATCGTATTTTTTGTCACCCAACGATGATCTCTTCTTCCAGAAAAGATAGGCAAGTTAAGACAACAAATTGAATTGATGCTGTACATGTATACCAAAGAGACATAAAATTAGAGTACGCTTAAGTTTGCGCGTGTGCATGTGTGTGTGAATGATAAATATATATATATAAAGTAATCAAAACATAGCCAGTGAAGGGTATATGTTCAAAACTCTCAGGCACCCAATGAATACTTATAAATCTCCTCCCTAACAACTTGTACTCAAAAAAAGTAAACAAAACCTAAAATCAAAATTGATGATCATTATCTCTTCTTCTTTTTTTCTGCTAGAAATATGAAAAACATCAATGTCACTTGTACAAACGAAACAAAAAAAAGTTTAACGTGCATACTAGTAGTGGAGGTCTTAGGTTCAAATTTTGATAACAACAGAAATTCCCGATGTACAGAGAGGATTGCCCTTTTGGTGCATTTGACATTGACATAATCAAGTTTTTATGAAAAATTAGTTATCAAACTAGGGTTAGAGAGAGAGAGAGAGAGAGAGAGAGAGAGAGAGAGAGAATTACAGAAAGATGTGCTAAAATGAAAGTGCCATTTTCCTTTTTTTGTTCTTTCCATTTAATCATACAACAAATAGTGAGATGAGAGAGAGAGTGCAAGCAAGGTTTTCATCAAACATTTTACAGAAATAAAATCACACAACAGAAAAATGATATCATCTATGAGGGAGCAAAAAAAGAAGTTGAGTGTAAATTCCACGATCATTATGTACCTTCCAGGAATGTGAAGCATTTCCCACTGTCCAAGATGATTCAACACCTTTACATTTGCAACTGAGTTTAGGCAGTCACTGTTAGGGAAAACAGAAGTATAAAGCACTAAAAGAAGAATATGCAGTTGGCTTATTTTCACAAATGTTTTCTGAGTTTTGCGAAATTATCACATTTGATACTTCACGAAATTATCCAATCTATATAAAATTGGTCCCTATTGTGAGATTCCGTAAAAAATTATGTTAAATTGATGATATAGCATGTATGTGGAACCTATGTGTCCAAAAATAGCATGCCATGTGGATCTGAATAAAAAAATTATTTTGAAAATGTTTAAAAAATAAAAATTCAATAAAACATAGAAAACTTAAATTTAAAACTTGAAAAGAAAAAAAACTGTTGACTCCCCCTCCCCGTGCATCCCATTCTGCATTCCGCCTCCCACCTCCCCCTTCCCTTGACACCCACTCTCTCTCTCTCTCTCTCTGATTCCTCTCTTTATCTCTCCCTCTTTCCTCTTTATGCTCTCGCTCCCTCTCCCTCTCTTTCTACTCTATGTGTCTCTCTTTGAAACATTTCCCACCAGGGAAAATTCTAGGATTTCAAAATTCCGTGGGCTAAATTTACCTTACGTATGCAGGAAATTTCAACAGTGAGGGCCATATTGCACCAAGTTGGACTTTACAACCATGTGAGAGAAAAAAGAGATACGCTGAATAAAAAAGGAGAAACGAAGGGAAAAAAAAACAAGAGAAAAGCAAAAAACAAATATAGGAAGAAGAAACTGTGGAAAAAGCTCAATTCGTAGTAGATCCAAACCATAAAAAAAAAATGGAGAAACAAAGGAAAAAAAGAGAGAGAAAGGTGGGAAAACAAAAGAAATAGGAAGAAAAGAGAAAGGTGGAAAAGAAGAAAGCAAGACAGAAATGAAGAAAATAAGAAAAAGAGAGAACATAGGTATTGATTTTTTTTTTTTTTAAATGCATGGGCTAGAGAGAGTGACTACATGGATATTAAAAACTTAAAAAAAGGCATGGGCTATAGCCCATACAGCCCAATAGCTGGATTCATCCCTGTTTCCCACTGACAAAGATGATTCACCACCTTTACTGTTGCAACTGAGGTTAGGTCGTCTCTGTTAGGGAAAACAAAAGTATAAAGTACTAAAAGAAGAATATGTAATTGGCTTATTTTCACAAATGTTTTATGAGGTTTACGAAATTATCACATTTGATACCTCACGAAATTATCCCATCTATATAAAATTGGTCCCTACTGTGAGATTCCGTAAAAAATTATGTTAAATTGATTATATGGCATGTATGTGGAGCCTAGGTGTCTAATAATAGCATGCCACGTGGATCTGAATAAAAAAATTGTTTTGAAAATGTTTAAAAAATAAAAATTCAATAAAACATAGAAGACTTAAATTTAAAACTTGTAAAAAAAAAAAAAAAATCATCTGCTGACTCCCCCTCCCCAGCCTTCCATTCTGCAATCTGCCTCCCTCATCCCCCTTCCCCTGCCGCCCACTCCTCTCTCTCTCTAAGATTTTTCATCAAATCTTTTGTATCAAGGATTTTTTATATATATAAAAATGATATTCTACTTTAATATAATCTAAAGTACAGGGAGGGAGACTCGAACTCGAGTGTATAGTGGGGAGCACATCCACTATAGCCAACTTGGCTAAGCTCATATCTGCAAGTTTTCGTATCAATAATTAATTCACTGTAATGGTAACAAATATGTACAATCAAAATCTCCACATTGCAAATTCTCTCTCTCTTTTTCCCTCTCTCCCTCGCTTTCTCCCCCACCCCGATTTATCCCCCCAACCCTCGACATACTCCGCAAAACCCAACCCCCACAGAACCAAAAGCAACCAACCTGGCCACCATCTTCCCCAACTTAGCCACACCCCACCCTAGACCCACCGCCTAGGCCCTGCACCCAAATACCCCTCATTTTTATATTTTTTCTTACTTTTTCATCTTTTTTCCTAATCCTTTTAACGAATTCTCACGGTATGAATCAATTTGATGTACGTGGGGTAACCTTAAGGACTAATCATGTCACAAAGAAACATAAAAGACCAAAGATAATAACTTGGTGAACCTCAACACTACTACAAAACTGGGCAAAAAGCACGATCCAAAGGGCACAAAAAAGAGGGTCATGGTCTTTTGAATCACATTAGGCACATATATGTAGTATTTGTGTCATATATGGAGAAGACACAATAGTTTTGTGTCCAATTTAAATGGAAAAAGAAAATAATTGTGCTTTAATAATTTAAATACAACTTTTGTGGCCTATAGAAAGCACAAATAAACAACTTTTGTGGTTATTTATATTTCTTTTCTTTTTCAAATTCCCGAAATTATATAAAGCATGGATACTGAAATTTTGTGCCTTTGTATAGAACCCAAATACTGCAACTATCTCTTTTTAGGTTGTCCGTAGAGCACGAATAATGCAATTTGTTCTCAATATTATATTTAAAAATAATAATTCAGTTAAATAATAAGACACGAAAACTAATAACCGTGCCGAAAGCACTCCTCACTCACACGAGTCACGTGCTTCTCTCTCTGAGTCTTCTAATCTTCCTTCTAACCTAACTCTCGCTTGCTGCCTCTCTCTCTCTCTCTCTCTCTCTCTCTCTCTCTCTCTCTCGACCTCAGCTCCTCTCTCTATCGATTCGTCTCTCCCGACCTTAGTCACCGACAGCGTTGGCATCGCTTCGTCTCACTCTCTCATCTGGTATCATCTCTTCTCTCAATCTCATGTCTCCGTTTGTCAACCTCATCATCTCTCTCCCTCTTTGGAGTCGACCTAACCCAGATCGCCCCTCAGTAACCTAACCCTCTCAGAGTCTCTCTATCTCTCTCTCTCTCTAGACTCGTCTCTATCGAGTCTCTATCGCGCTCGCTTTCTCTCACTCTTAGTCACCTCTGTAAATCTCTTAGAGTCCATCGTTCTCCCTCACCAAACCTAACCAAACATCATCCAATTTCATTGGTTTTTGGAGCGAATCCTTGCAAATTATGGAGGGCTCTGGTTCATTTTAAGGTAAATCTGTATGTATTTGGTTTGAATTCTTAGTTGTTTTCATGTTCCCCAATTTAGTAGATTATTAGGGTTTCGAAATTTTTGTATTCTGTTGAAATGAAGTCAAATTTTTTTCTTAATTTTGCAGTTGTTGTGCATAGTCTGTGTGGGTTTCGATTAATAGGCAAAATTGAAGGTATAAATATTTCTCTGTCTTAATCTCTGTGTGTTGCTTGCTTCATATATTTCTCTATCTCAATCTCTGTGTGTTGCTTGCTTCATCTTGCTTCAAGCTTTGGTTTTGTTTGGTCCTACTTGGTTAGGATCTGATAAGATGATATGAATGATAACTTTTCTCTGCTTATCTGAGTGTTTGAAGACAGGATTTTTATCTTAAATGTTTCTTTTTCCGTATGATATATAATTAATTAAATTTTTGTCACCCATGTTCTTACGAGGGAAATATTTGCCTTTTGTTATTCTCTTGGATGTTTTACTTCTGTAGTGCAGTTGTTGCAGCATGGTACAAGGTAGATAGAATTGTAAATTTCATGTAGCTACAGGGTAGATGTGCAACATATAATTAGCAGCCTCAGTTACTAGTTTGTAACATTTTAATGAACATGGAGGAATTAGATGCTTCCAGATTTGTAGTGATAAGGCATTACCTTTCTTCTTTTCATCGTAGGTACTTAAAATTCATTATCATGGCCTAAGTTTTTTCAGTTTGTTATGTTAGGGAGTGGGTCTCCAACTGACGGAAGGTTTAAAATTAACATCAACTATCAAGAATCATTGTACATTTAAGATTACAAATATCCATGTAGAATTCGAAAGCCAAGAGTTAAAGTTCTGAGAATTTGATAATAGAGAAGTATAAATTGTGTAGTTAGATTGATTTAGTTCCCTCATTTAATATAATTTGATCACCCAAATGCTTCTGTCATTTACTTCAAGAGACCAAGAAATGGTACTATCATTTACATTAAATCCAATGCAGACCATGAAGTATGTAGCCTTTGGTTTTGTTGGAACTTGGTAGTATTGCTGAAATATTGAAGGAGGATTATCCCTCTCTCTTCTAGCTCTCGGCTGGTATCATTTGGAGGAGGAGGATGACATATTATTCTTCCTCTCTCTCCTCTACAATTAAGTATTAATTTTAACATGTTTTCCATATTTATCATTGAGCATTTAAATGTTATTTTGCTTATAGTACTTTGCTTCAAAGCTCAAAAACAAAGCATTTGTGCTCTTATTTCAATTTTTGTTCATGCATTTGTTTGGTCAAGAATGATTAGAACATGCTATTAATGGCTCTCTTGTTATTATTAGGTTTATATTTTAACTTCCAAGTAGATGTATTAATATGTTCCACTGTAATAGTTATGATTTCATATTAATTTTGAAGCTAATAAAAATGGCTTTGAGGAAATGAGATTGTTTGGAGTCATATGTTGTGCACAATTGAGTTCAAATTTTCTCTACACTCATTTCAGCCAAAAAGAGCATCTAATTATATTTGGTAATGCATATGTGCACGATATGAGATGCCATTGGTTGAGGATATGTCATTTATTTTGTTTTTTTCTTGATATTTTTCATTTTTTTTTCCTCTGAGTCCATTTTGATAGATGTACACACATGTTCGCAAAACTTAAACATCATAGTGAAGCTTTAATGTCTTCGTAAAATTAATGCATCTCTTTTGCTTGCCCAAATACCCTAAACTTGAAGAGTTTGCTAGCTGGTTATCTATTGTGGTAGATTTTCTCCCTCTCCTCTCTCTAATGCCGTGCTCTTATTTGGCAGATAATGTGATTAAGGAGGCTCACAAAGGCAGCCATAGGCTCATAAAGAGTGTTTCATTTGGATCTTCTAATTCATTGATGTAGATACGTTCAGTTTTAAATACAAGTTTTTTATTCAATTATTGTATCTAATCACTATTAAGTGGAAATGAAATTTCAGTTTGTTATTTAATATATATATTTTGAAAAGGTCTGAAATACCATACTATATTAAGTGGAAATGAAATTTCATTGTGTAATTTTTTTATTTATTTAAACAATTGGCATTGAGCACGGTTTTGAAACTGTGCTTAGTTCACATATGTCAACAATTCAGTCACTTGTCAAAATAAAAGCACAAATACTTGGCATTTGTGCTCTAAATGCCTGCCACAAGGTAAACAATTCGTGCCCTAAAATCAATGGAAACTGCTATATAGTACACCAACTACACTATAGTGGCTGCACTGTGGCCTTCTTTATAGGGCACAGTTATCCGTGCTATTTAACATGAAAGAGCACAAATGCAATTTGTGCTTTTAGCCCAATTTTTTAGTAGTGCAAAGACTGTTTGTGAAAATAAGTCTATATAATATCAAATTACCAGGATTGGATACCAATAATTAGTAATTTCATATGCATATAGGGTTATTTATAACGACATGATGAATAATTTAGCTTGGATGAAAGCATGAAGCTCTGCCAATAAATACCTTGAAATATATCCGCGGACTTAAATATCAGCCATTTCGAAAATATGAGTAGTCCCCAAATGTAGAAATTCCGACGAAAATATGAAAAAAAAATAGAAATTGTTAGAAAATTATGGAAACTTGGAATGAAACTTTGAGTCATGTTTATAAAACTAAATGTAAGTGAGATGCAATTTGAGCCATGCAAAATGCTAAAATCCAACGTTCTATAGTGTGTGTCGAAAAGTGTTAAAAATTGTACCCTCCCGACCCATTAATTAATACATGACAAATATGGAAATGAAATGATTATAGGAGCATCACGTAAGAAAAGAAATTAAAGTTTAAAGTTCATCAAAAAAAATAAATAAATAAAGTTTAAACAAAGATGAAATTCTTTACCGTCCAAGATGAAGTAGTACCAAAATCGTCCGGAGAATGTTGGATTGTCCTAAGAAATGTATAAGAATTGAGGAATTAATATTATCTTAAGATAAGAAGTGGTAAGAAGGAAGGAGAGATAAGAACGAATGAAGACACTAATTGCAAGAATGGAGATTGGAGATCATCCAAATATTCAGTACTCAAGGTTATCATAAAAGTGAAGTGATAGGTCCATTGAGAATGGAGAATGGAGATTATGAAAGAACACAAAAAAAAAACAAAAACAAAAACAAAATAAGAAGAAGAAGAGAGGAGTAATTCTTACCGCTGTTCCCACCTCATGCAAATAATGCCGAAATCGGTTCGTTAAAGAAAAACACTAAAAATCCAACAAAAGAATAAATAAGATTATCACTACCCCCGCAAGAACAAATAAGCTCAAATCCAATAAATTAATGCAACATATATTAATTCTTGTTATCTTACTATTAAAGTTAACTTCAATGTAAACTAAAAAGAAATAATATGAACATATATAATTAAGTACATATATATATATATATATATAAAATTGTCAATGAGGTCTAGCTTTAGAGGAAAAATGACATTGACTTGCATACCGATGGTTTTAGGTTCAAACTCTCATAGCACATAATTAGTAATGTGTGTGTGAGAAACACCTTTTTTTTTTTTTTTTTTGGTAATTTAGAATATCGCTTGTATTGTTCATATATATATATATATAATTGTCAATGAGGTATAGCCTTAGAGGAAAAATGACATTGACTTGCATACCGATGGTTTTAGGTTCAAACTCTCATAGCACATAATTAGTAATGTGTGTGTGAGAAACACCATTTTTTTTTTTTTTGGTAATTTAGACTATCGCTTGTATTTTAAAAAAAATACATATAAATAATTAAAAAGTTAGTCAAACGACATCTCGATTGAATACCTGTCAATTCTCCACGGTTTTGCCAGTACTACGTCAAGAAGTAACGATTGCAGCGGTGATTTATTCGAAATGTCCTCCTGCAAGCAGTCAAGTTGGCAAAATGCGAAATTAAATAGAGAGATGCATCAATTGCCTGCCAACCTAGTAAGGCCATCCCCAATGGGGGCTCTATTTGGGGCTCAACCACCACAAGGCTCCCATATATACAAACTCTCTTTAAAAAGGCATCCACAATGGTGCAAATTTGGGGCTCTAAAACTTAAAGCCCAATTGGAGTAGTAGCTAAATGTATGTGCTTGGTTGAAACCCTTGAAACCGAGTGGGTCCCGCAAGGAAAAAAGCTGCAGCCCAATTTTTGCAAGTCTCTCACTTGCCTTGCGATTGTACAAAGCCTACTTGCCATTTTTTTATTTTGTCAACAGCAGCTGACCCAACATGCTAAATCAATTATTCAAAAGCTGTGTAAACAGCCATATTGTCATACCACTTTTTCAAAGGCAACTGCCATATTTCTATGCATGCAATTTAGTTATTTTTAAAATATTTTATTATTTAAATTCCATTGTACTTTGTTTTATTATTTAAATTCCATTGTACTTTATTTTATTATTTTAAAAATATTCTAGTTTGTTTAACTTAATGAAATGATTGAATTCAAGAACATTGCAATTTAGTTATTGAATTCTAAACACACAACTCTAAATTGCAAGGACATTGCAATTTAGTTATTGAATTCTAAACACACAATTTAAATTTAAAATTAATGTTGTGCATCTTGTTTTAATTTAACCATGTTGTATCGTATCTATGAAATAAAATGTTGATTTCCAAATCTTGTCCAAATTTTGATTTTTTTTTTGTTGAAATGTTCAAAAAAAAAAAAAAAAACATAACATGAACAAACATTAAAGTAAAATAGTTAACAAAAAAATAAACACCACGTAAATCAAATTACATTATAAAAAAAATATAGAGCCCGCCATGAATATAGGGCCTCCCATTGTGGGAGAAATTCCTTTAGAGCCCCAAAGATTCCATCAGAGCTCTAAATGGGGCTCTATAAACCCTTTTTAGAGCCCCAACCATTGGGGATGGCCTAAGTAACAGCAGAATCATACATGTACATGTTGAAATTAAAATGGAAATTTAAAAGCATATACTCATACTCATCTTTCCATGAAGAACAAAGACGTACAGGGGATGGTACATATATATGTCATGAAAATGGAAGAAAATAAAGTAGTAAATGTGGATTTTTCCCTTCAAACTAATGTTTTCTTATTTACAACTAACTGTCTTATTTTTCTATGAAGAAAACCCAATTTATTATAAGTAAAACTCGATAACTAGGATCTAACTCAGCAAGTTACCTAATTAAGCTTAAAATTTGATTTATTGTACTTTTTATATTCCAAAAGTACCCCTAATTAGAATTTACCCTATTATATGATAATGCACCTAATACAAATTGTACCTATTATGAAATAATATGATAATGCACCTAATACAAATTTATAAATTCTTCGAATTATCTATCTAATATGTAGGTAAATTATTGTACCTATTTTTTTAACTGAAGTATGTATCTATCTATTTACCTATCTTGTATTAGATATGTAGGTCAATTATTTTTTGCATGTATATATTATCATAGTTTAATATTGTTATTAAAAAGACGTTTCAATAATAAAAAGTTGCCAATTAAAAAGAATTATATATAAATGCTAAACGCCCCACCCATCCAAACGAAGCACCGATTCCATCGTAGCAGTACGGTAGTTGTAGTGGTACCGGAGCAATGGAGGGTGACTCTGGCAATTTAAGATCATAGATAACTCCCAAAATCCAGTTAACAACATCATCCCTGCCAACAACCTGAGATAGAAGAAATATATATAATGTCAAATTAAAAAAAATATTTAAAAAGTTATTAAGAAAAGTGTAGACTGCACTTTAGCAATACGTATTAATTTAACATGTTACTCACTATAATTCTCATCTTCTTTTGAATTTCAGAAGCAAAACCATAATCTTTGAGCTTAAGCTTTTCTATAGTACCATATACATCCTTTAGCACTGTCTCAGGATTATTATATGTATTTGCTTCTTCCAGTAGTACACCAAAAACCTAGAAAATAAAGGGAAACAATACAATATTATATTGGCCAAAAGTCACTTTTGGTCCTTGTAGTTTGGCACTTCAATCACTTTTGACCCTGTAGTTTCAATTTCGTCAATTTTGCCATTGTAGTTTTGTATTTGCAGCAATTCAAGGACATGTTAGTATTTTTGTTAATTTCTTTAAGAATGCAAGGGGCAATCTCGTCAACCCAAAACCCTTGAGCGTAAAAGCTTGTCTGAAATTCTCCCCATTTCATATTATGGCTCGAAATTCAATCACTAATCCCAATTTTTGAAAAACCCTAAACCCAATTGACCAAGTTCAAGCCCTAATATGAAATTATGGGAGTTTCAGACGAGCTTTTATGCTCAAGAATTTTGGGTTGACGAAATTGCCCCTTGCACCGTCAAAGAAATTGACAGGAATACTAACTTGTCCTTGAATTGCTACACATACGAAACTACAGGGTTAAAATTGTCGAAATTGAAACTCCAGGGTCAAAAGTGGTTGAAGTGCCAAACTATAAGGACCAAAAGTGAATTTTAGCCTATTATATTTACAACAAACTTTAATCAAATCCATGCATGTTAATTAGAGCTTTAATTATACAGAAACTACGTTAAAATTTCATTTCACATAATATATGATCGAATGCATGTGTTGTTCAATGAGAAAAATACCTGCTTTGTAGTAAGGAGGTCACAAAATTTCCCAATGAGTTCTTCTCCTTCTCCTCTATAGCCGCGCATATCAATAAACACCAACATTGGGGATTTTTTCATATGGAAGGAATCAGGTTCAACATCCAAATCAGGTAATTTAAGCAACTCAGATTTGCGGTAGGGCGGAGAAGTCCTCCTGCATGGGATATTCATATTCGTACGTAAACAATTTGAAAGACGACACCAAAATAAGGGAGTAAGTAAACTACTGTATGTATAATTTTGGGAGTTTTGGGACACGATTTCTGCGAGTGTCCTAGCGGCCAATGGTAGACCATAACATAGATCCTTAATTTCAATCTCAACCTCAGCTTTGTTTTCAAAATCCTGTTGATCTTCAAAATCAAGAAAATTACCAAATACAGTGTACTTAAATATACCCCAGCAGCTTTGTCTGTCCAAAGGCTCAAGAGGAATAATCAAGCTGTTATAATGTTGATCTGACCCCTCTGCCGGTACCACCATAGCTTCAACCACTTCCGGTATCCTACTAGTGACGATGACCGCCCCACCACTACCCTTAGGCAATCCGTGCGATAAGCGATCCCCAACTTTCTTATCACCTTCCTGAACCTGAATTTGAGCGTCTTAACTTCCTTTAGTCAATCCAAGACTATGAGTACAACAATGGCTTTTCAGTCTCCAGAGAATGTTAGGTAGATTTGCTTGTGCGTATAGTGAATGCAAATGCACATTCAATGATACTGTGTTATATATATGTAGCTAAATCATGTATTTATGTGAGCAGTGAGCTATCCTAGTATACATGTTCACACACAGTCAGTTCTTTCATTCATATGTGGTTCTTTACTAATGAGACCAACCATGGTACAGGTTGCAAGTTGGGGTGCATACTTGCTAAAGAGAAATGTATTAGCCATGTCCTTTGCACCACGGGATAATCATGAGTAATTACATGTGATATATATATATATATTAAAATAGAGTTGAATTAGTGAACTCTTAAGTTGAATACAGATAGTAGAAAAACATATCTATATCTATTTACATACTCAGATCATATGGTCAAATTAATTGTCACAGTCTTGCCTCAACTCTCAAGGTTAAATGATTCACATATGAACGGCTGTGTGTAGATGGGATGTACCTAAAAGAAGTTGATCGGGTCCTTAGACCTGGTGGATATTGGATCTTGTCTGGACCTCCAATTAATTGGAAGACATACTACAAAACGTGGAAGCGGTCTAAGGAGGATGTCCAGGCAGAGCAAAGACAGATTGAAGCACTAGCTGAAAGTCTTTGCTGGGAGAAAAAGTATGAGAAAAACATGGCTACGAAAAGAAGCATGCAAGGGCATCTTTAACTAGAGTTTTTGTGTCTTTCAAAAACAGAATTGTTGTTATGAACATCATGCTATCCATAAGAATGTTCCCTATCAATGTGATTGATGACCAAATTGCCAAAAAGAACCTCTACAACCTGCACAAATTACTTGAAGTATTGACCCAATCCCACATCGTTTTCTTAAGGCAACCTCCCATTTTTTATCCACTATAAAAGGCTTCCAAATATCAATATTATTGCTCACCAAAATATCCTGAAATTGTCATAATTGCTAACTTAAATATAAGTTAATTAATTATGTCGGGCCGGGCCGGGCTTTTAAAGGGTCCCAAAACAAAGCCCAAGCCCTGCTCATTAGTCATCGGGCCGGGCCAAGCCCGCCCAATGTATCGGGCCGGGTAAGCCCAAAATTTAAAAAATCGGGCCGGGTTCGGGCTGGCCCATCGGGCTCGGGCTTTATTTACAGGCCTATGTTTTAGCCCCTTAGAGCATCCACGAAATTGAAACTTGAGGGCCCATATTGAGAATGATCCCAAACCTTCAAGGAGTCTTTGAAGTTAGCCTTTTTTGTTTTTTAAAGGGGAATGCTAACAACATTCTTTCTAACATTCTCTTTTGGACTTTCTTCCTTCTCTTCATGACACATGTCACTTTGCTTACTCTTAAAATAATGTTATTAATGCACACACAAACTAATTTTTGTTTTCCAAATTTATCCCTATTACAAAAAGAAAAATAAATAAAAAATTTGACCCACCATACGCCCTCTCCATCTCTCAAGTCGTCACCACCACCTAAAGTCACAACCCCAACCAACATAGCCCACCATAGCATTCTCTCTCCCCTTCCCTCACCAATCCAACCCAGCCATCCACAGACACTACACTCCCTCTATCCCTCCATCTCCCTCCCCCTCTCTCTCCATCTCTCTCTCTCTAGCGAACAGCCCTCCCTCTGGCATTAATTTCCTTTGTTGAGTAACAAGATGTCACCACCTCGTCTCGATCCCTCCTCTCCTCCACCACATCGTGTCGATCTCCACCACCAGTGGCGGATCCAGGAAATTTCGTTCCGGGGGTCAATATTTAAAGGTAAAAAAAAATTTATACAAAATATACCCATAAAAATGAAACGATAATATTATCATTCATAATTAATATAAAAAACCACATTACAATTGTCCACGACGAGTTTTCATATTCTGAAAACGTAGCATTATAGTTTCATTATCAATACAAGCAAATACATCTTTCTCAATATAAACAAGCAAACTATCACTCAACCATTGATCTCCCATTCGGTTGCGAAGTGGACCTTTCACAATATTCATAGCAGAAAATGCTCTCTCCACAGAAGCAGTTGCAACCGGTAAAGTTAAGGCTAATGTGAGAAGCAAATAAACATAATTATATGTTCTATGCAACCCTTTCTCCACCAATTTTCTTGCAAGGCTACCAATCCCTTTCAATTGAGAAAAATCGATCATCGTACGCATATGATTAATATAAATCTCAAGTTGATCTTCAAGTGCCAAGAGATCTCGGGAAGTAAAATCTTGAGGATAAAATTCAGCAAAACGAAGTAGCTTTTGTTTGTTAAAAGCTATGAAGGAATCATCCGGACTCAAACATGTCAAACAAAGAAGTAACTCAGTATTTACCTCACTGAAGCGATGATTTAATTCCGCAAGTTGCCACTCAATGATTTGAATGAAGATGTCCACACGATAATGATGGAGATGCGTTATTATAGGAGCTCTCCGATGTGATCTCCATTGAGCTACATATGCATCATCCATGTTTGGAACCAAGATCTTTCAATTGAGAAAAATCAATCATCGTACGCATATGATTAATATAAATCTCAAGTTGATCTTCAAGTGCCAAGAGATCTCGGGAAGTAAAATCTTGAGGATAAAATTCAGCAAAACGAAGTAGCTTTTGTTTGTTAAAAGCTATGAAGGAATCATCCGGACTCAAACATGTCAAACAAAGAAGTAACTCAGTATTTACCTCACTGAAGCGATGATTTAATTCCGCAAGTTGCCACTCAATGATTTGAATGAAGATGTCCACACGATAATGATGGAGATGCGTTATTATAGGAGCTCTCCGATGTGATCTCCATTGAGCTACATATGCATCATCCATGTTTGGAACCAAGATATCATGTTTGCCACAAAAGGAAGATACTTGATCAAGCAAGGCTTCAAATGCATTCTCTCTCATGTGTTGTAGTTGGTCCTTGCAAACTTTCACTAAAGTCATTGCATTCCCAATATCTTGGTCTTTCCTTTGTAATGCTTGTGACAAGTCATTTGTGGCTCCCAATATAGATCTCATGAAAAATAGGTGAAATACAAACTCAAACGATTGTATTTCTCTTAATGACCTATTTGCTTCACCTAGATTATCAGTGGAGCCATCCTCAATAATCAATTTGAGCACTTTCACCACAGATTTAAACATGGAGATGATACTAAGTAATGTACCATAATGTGAGTTCCAACGTGTATCACCGGGCCGCTTGAGACAAGTTTCTTGATTTAAGCCTCGCCCTGTTGGAAAAGTATCTTTTTCAAGAGCTTCCGTAATATCCTTTTGTAGTTGATCTCTAAGCATGTCACGACGCTTACACGATGCTCCAACAATATTAACCAAGCTATTGCAAGATGTGAAGAAAGTCGCAATATCAACATTTCCTTTTGCCACGGCCACAAGAGCTAATTGAAGTTGATGTGCAAAACAATGAATATAATAGGCACAAGGATTTTCTCTCAAAAT